ATCTTCTTCATTATATCAACGACCGGACTCACCACTTATTATTAGAAAAATAGAAAACCGAGAAAGTATAGTTAAAGAACTATGTTTGGCGGATGTCCCTTTAACGGAAGCTTTAAAATACGCCCAAATTGATAATGAACCGCTCACTTCAGAGATCTGGACCAAAAATTGTTTCTTTGGCGATGTCGAAATAGGACAAGTCGTTATTAAACACGACCCCGAGAGAAGACTAACTGTCGCGTTCGATATCGTCGCACAAACTGTCGGGTTAAGCGTTTTAATGAATGAATGGAGAAAGGCTGCAGAACTGTTCTCTACCCATTATTGCGGAATGAGTCTCAATGAGGCGTTACTCGACTTGAAAAAATACTTCGTGACGCAAATGAAAATGGGCGAACTCACCGACTTCATGTGTGAGACAATGATGACACTGGACCAGGCAAGAGAGTTCCGCGACGTCGTGGAAATAGCAATTGGGAAGGAATTGCAGAACAAAGTCAACGCGATCTCAAATATGGTGAAGATTATCGAGTTCTATTCGATTGACGTCAACAAAGCAAAAGCGAAAAGTCTTGAGTTTTATTTTGACTTTTTGGTGAAAACAGACGACATTAGACAACTGTTTCAAGACGTTGGAATGGCGGAATGGGCAGTGAGGAAAGCCGGAGAGGAAGATTGCGCCGAAATGAGGAGTGGCGGAACGATGATTGTGTTTAGGGATTATTTTAAGAATGTCTTTGGAATCCATCTCCCTGTAGGAGTGTGTGAGGAGGAACAGCATATTTCTCTCTTTTCACTTCGAAATAACAATAACACTGGATATCTCTTTTTAACACCAAAAAAAGACGTAAAATTGGCAAGAGTCGTCGATGGCGCGTTTTGGACTTATTGTATCGACGACGTGCTATATTTGAGAACTACACGACCTTTTGCAGTGTGTTTTAAGAATATTAATAAGGTCTTCAACGACACGAGTGGACTCAATGAATCGCTTTGCATGGGGACGTCCGAGGGAATGCTGAAAGATATCGTCCTCTTTGAATCTAATCAAAAATGAGATCTTGGCGAAACGATTCCAACCTCGAAACAAATGAGAGGTCAGAATAATATATATTTATGGGGTTTGATAGTATTTTTGTAATTATATGTGTTATTAGTGTTGTAAAACCCAAATTAGCATTTTTTTAAACTATTCAATTTATTATAATTTAACTAGAGTATTTGTTATGTACTAAAAATACCATATTTATTACTAAATATAATTATAAATATAGTTTGAAAATACGAAACAAAACACGCTTTTGTTTTCACCAAAAGAAAGAAAAAATCAAATACCCGAAAAAACTGAACTATACTTGAAGAAAAAGAACTATAAATAATGGTAAATCGTAGATGTCAAAAGGATTGACGAGATTGAGTTAACAGAAGGAGAGGACAGAAGGGAGGCGAAATCAAGGAAAAAGACATGATAAGTGCGATTCAACAACGCAACCAACGTCTCGATGCAAATTTATATTCGGAGGAGTTTGAGAAGGTTTTTGAAACCCGCCTGCCACACTTTTACGCGACAGAGCAGATCAAATACCCTCCAAGTGATTGCGACAAGATCTTTGCGTCGTGTTGGGTGAGCGAAGATACCGTTGCGACAGGGACGAAAGACAATTCCCTGTCACTGTGGAATGTTTACTCAATGAACGTCACAAAACTCAAACTGCCAAATACTCGGGTGAACTACGACAGAGGGAGTGGAATACACGACGTAGACTTTTGGCCGGTTGGTGACGCCGGTTTGTTGGTGAGTGGAAGTGACTCCCCAAACGACATCGTCGTTTTTGACACGAAAAGAGAAACACCTGTGTCTCTTTTGAGAGGACACGACGACTGGGTTTTTGGTTCCAAGTTTGTTGACAACAACGTTGTTTTTAGTGGAGGAAGAGAGGGTAAGTTGTGTTTTTGGCAGGTCGACCAACCAAACAACAAGGGCGACAACATGCCAAAGCTCCACATCCAATCACCCTATGAAACAAAGACGATCGAAGGTGTGAAGATTCGATGTGTGGGCGTACAGAAGGCCAAAAAAGAGTGTTACAGTTTGACGTCGGATGGTGTGGTCGGTATTTGGGATGCACAAACAACGACTCTTATACACAACGAGCAACTTGAAGACACGTACGAGTTAGTCGCGATGGACGTGAAGCAAGACAGCTCGTACATTGCTGTTGGGTCCAGGAGCTTTACAACTGTTTTAGACCCGCGCGAAAAACGGGAAGTCGTTGTGATTGGCCACGTAGATATTAACTGGGGAGTGAGGAGTGTGTTGTTTTTGGACAACTATCTCGTGATAGGAGGAGGAAGCGGCAGCGTTTCGTTCGTCGACATGAGGAAGGCAGGAGATTACAAGCACACGGTATACCACAAATGCAGTGGTGTGATTAGAAACACGTTTCCCGACATGACCGAGTCAGACATCCCCCAAGCCGTCTACTCGGTTTCTGCAAATCTCTCGAAGACGAATCTGTTTGTTGGTGGAGGACCCTTACTTGTTGGGGTTTCTGGGTATTTTGGGTCTGTGTGGAATTAAGTGTTGATATGTTTTTCAAACATTTAACTGTATTATTATTTATAATTAAAATTGTTATGGTACATAGTAAAATTCCAATTAAATAATATAATCACTAATTCATCTTTGGATGTGAAGCAACACTCCCAGCAATATATGATAATCCACCGTTCTTCAAAACGAAGTAATACACTGCGAGAACACCAATAAAAAACGCGTAAAATGCGATATCAAACATAAAGTGTGATTTTTCTCTGTGGATGTCCAACAACGTCTCGACAATTCTTTTCTTTTCGATTTTCACTAAGGTTTGGGAACAAGTCAATTTGATTTTTGCGCTCTCTGCGACAAGGCTTGTTGATGTGTTTGTCACGATTTGTAAATTACCCAAGTTGTTATTCTTCCCATCGATGATGTCGACAGACCCTTCTCTCTCAATTAGTTGATATAGAATTTGGTTTTTAAAAATTTCGAAAACGTGTGGGTATGTAGCGTGTGGTGATATCATATAATTTCTCCTCTCGTCAGTAAACTCTCCAACAATCTCTTTCAATTCCAACGCATTTGCAATACTTAAAAGAGTCACCAACCCCACTAAAAACTTCATTAATATTTTAGTTTTATTTTGTTGTAAAAAAGAGTGAAATTTTACACATTTTTGAATGGAAATTGAAAATGAATTAAAAAACTTTCAATGAAAAAAAAAAGAACCGACTTTATTATTGAAGTTTTTAAATTATATTATTGAAACACGATAAGTAGCACCATCACAGTATTTTACAATTGTCACTTGTTTTTATTGAAAAGTAAAAATTGGAAAATATTTGACTTGTAAATGCCACCAATTCTTCTTAATTAATTGGGACACTTGGGTTGCTTACATTCACAAAAAGTAATACAAATTTGGCTTCGAAAATACACAACAAATAGTTAAGTAATAAAATAATTATAAATAAAACCATTATAAAAACAGATCAAGTATAAATAGAACAAGTAAAATAGCAAACCAAAAGAACGAGTATGACGGTTTGAAGCAATTTCTTATTGTTTTAATCCTTTTTTCGAGAATTTACAGGAAAGTTTTACCATGGTAATCAAAACACTTCGAATGAGCGTTTTCCTATTAAACTGCGGCAACGATGAAAGGATTTTAAACGGTTTTCTAAATTAAGTCAACATAAATAAAGACATTTCATAGTGATTGATTTGTTTTTATAATTTTAAATGAAACGAAGAACTTATAAAGAGTAAAATGTTTCAAATGATACTCCTCTGTTTTTCTTTGGTATTTGGTGGTTCCTCTGATGTACCTTGTTCAATAGGATGTACCACAAAGTGTACATCAAATTACACATGTTTAGGTAATTGTGGTGATGGGTACATCAACGACAACGCTTGTTTGACTTGTAAGTGGGTAAACCCGTTACACGAGACCAAAACAGTATATGTCTCCACAGATACCGGTTGTGTTAAATCAGATAATTTTGCGACTGCGACGGGGTGGATTTCTAACAACATTCAAAAACTGAATTTTGACGAAGAGATTTCGTTTGTTTTGAATGCGGATTCTGAAGTCGATAGTTCTCCGTGTTATAGCACTTCAAAGTATCGATTTGGGAAATGGTTTGAACTCGACATGTCGACTTTTGGTGCAGAGATGAATTTCCATTTAAGTGTGACAAAGAGTGTGATAACGTCTTCTGTGAATATTGACATCACTTCCTCAAATTCAAACGATTACTCTCCGTCGTGTTTGGGCCACACCAAAGTGAACTCCACGACTGAAAGTGGTATTCTCAACATGATCATCTCAAATATTTTTGATGACACAGACGATAAAAAGGTCAGAATATTTATAAATTTAGACGGCTCTGTCGGAACACAAATCAAGCTGAGTGCCCATGCATTCTCAAATCCACAAGGAACACTCTTTTATAACTTTTCACAAGAAGATGCAGATCGACTCAGTGCAGATTTGAGTGATTCGATAAGTGTGTATTTCCCTATGGAAACAGATGCATTATATAACAGTGTGTTGTGTATGCCAAATAGGATCATGAAAACAATGTTATTCACTATGAATTTCACTGGAGACTATTCTATTCGTGTCGACTCGATTGCAGACGATAGAATTATATATTTGCAGAATTATCAAGTAACTCAAGTAGATGGTGTGTATAAAGCGAAGTGCAATGAAATGTGGATAGGAGAGAAATATGGACATGCGCACGAAGAAAATACGCACGGTATTGAGGTTAAAGTAGCTGGAGATGTCAATGCTAGAAGATCATTTTCCATAGTAACAGCAGACCACTTTAGAGGAATAACACTGACATTTAGAGCAATATGCCCGAACGATTGTGGACTGAAAGAAAAACGTGGGACGTGTTCGACGAGTGCAGCGACGTGTGTTTGTGCTGATCAGTATGGGGGGGATGAGTGTCATTTGAAGTGTTATTACAACAACACGTGGACGACACCAGACAATTCCAATTTGTGTTATTATGGAGCTCCACATTGTGATTCGAATTGTATATGTGATGCTGGGTATTCCTTAGTTGATCACTATTGTATCAGTGCAGAATGTTTGAGTGGGTCTATGAGAAGTGATGAACAGTGTTTAGCTGGGAGTGAAGGGTGTCAGTCAAATTGTATGTGTAGAAGCGACTTTACAGCGAACAACAACAAATGCAAATACTCATTGTGTGGTAATCAGCAACTTGACTCTGATGTAGTTGATTTAGGGAATGGAAAGACGTATCAAGAATATTGTGACTCGGGGTTGTATTGTGATGATAATTGTCAGTGCCCAGAAAATTACATAACAAATCCGGCAGATAAGACTTCGTGTATAGCAAAGGGGTTAGGGACTACTGGACTCACTTTGATCATCGTCGGTGTCTTTTTGTTTGTTGTAATATGTGTTGGTATAATACTTGTTGTATTATTGTTTGTTGTGAAATACAAGAAGACGGACATCAACATCTACAAAACACAACAACCAGTCTATTACAATTACATCTCAGGATCTACAAATAAAGGCCCGGATGATGATGCAAAGTATTATATTGATCCAATTAATTTGGACTTTGGTAATAACACCGTAGCAACTGCAATCAACGAAACGCGTTTTGAAAGAATTGAAGTTAAAAATTGTAGTAAGAAGAAGAAGTTTGTTACAATTCAATTTACTTAAATGCATCTTATTAACACCTTAGTATGATGATAATCTTCCATACCCCAAATAACCCTAAGTACATCTTCCACTTCGAACCTCAAGTGATGTTTTTAAGTCCACACACCGGTTTGTTTCAATTTAAAGATAAACAGTCGAATACTGCAAGATAAGAGTGTGACAAGTTAGTAACAACTAGGAATGAAACTCGAAACGATATATATGACTATTCACTGCACAACAAAAATTCGAGAAATGAAAATTCCATACACCGTGTGGTTTAGCGAGTCAAAACACACGTTGAACCAAATTGCAAATACACTCAAAGACAAGACTTTTGAAACATGGGGGCATGACGACCAAATATCCCTTGAGAATTACATCAAAGACGTAAAATTGAGGTATCACCATTACTTGACTTTAACAACAGACGCGGCCAGTTCGACGTATTTAGATATGGACGAGTTGAATATGTCAGATGTCCCAATAGCAGAAGGTGCGATGGGTAAATTATACATTGGGCGTTACCGAAGTGTTCCCGTCGCTGTCAAACAATTCAGGTGGGAGAATTTAAGTGATGATGAAATGGCGGAGTTGAAGAAAGAAGTGATCAACGAGTGTGAAATTATGGGTAAATTGCGTAATCCGTTTATTGCGAATTATATGGGGTCCGTCACTTATATTCCACAAGTCTCAATGGTCATCCAATTCTTCGTTTTAGGCGCACTGGGAGAGTATCTCAGACAAGACAAAGAAGACTACTTGAAGCTTCCCTACAAATTGAAAGTAAGGATGTTGTTTGATTCGGCTCGTGGTATGCAATTTCTTCATGAAAACAAAATGATGCATTTGGACTTGAAGCCAGACAATTTACTTGTGAATTCGTTATACGCAGACTCGGCGTGTTGTATCAAAATCACTGATTTTGGGACATCGCGATTTGTGAAGAAAACAATGAAAAATAATGAGGACAAAGGACTTGGAACACCTGTGTACGCAGCACCAGAAACATATAACGACGTTTACACTTATGCGGGAGACGTGTTCTCTTTTGCAATTACTGCTTGGGAACTCTTTTATCAAGAAGAGCCATATAAGTCGTTCAAGTCACTCTTTGAAATCAAAGAATTTGTGTTGAGTGGAAAACGGTTACCTATTGATGACGTCATGCCAAGCACTTATAGATCCTTGTTGGAAAGCTGCTGGGAAAAAGATCCAGAGACAAGACCTAACTTTGACACAGTTTGTAAAATGATTGTCAAAATTGATGACCAATCTCCAAGTAATGTCGAATTGGATGCCGACGTGAATAGTGAGAAAATCGAAGAGGTCATCAATAGAAGAAATGACAGAGTCGCAAGACAGATGAGAGACTTGAGTAATGAGTAATTGTGTTATTGAATTTACATTTATAATGTAATAATATATTTATTATATAGTATTAGAATATCCAATAAATAAATAATAATATTATTATTATAACTAAATTAATGAGTAATTTGTTATTATTTTTTCTGTGTAAAATAATATTGTTCTTTTAAAAAAAGATGTAATGAATTAAACTATAATTTTAAAAAACAATAACAATAATAAACTAGAATTATAAATTAATTAAAAATTAATAATAAAAATTATTATATTTAATTCAAAATCAAAATTAATAATTGAGTAGTTTATTATTAATCAAATTATAGTATAGAACTAACAATTCTTTATAATTTTAGCATATATGTTTTAAATGTTTTGTATAGCTTTGGGCATTTATAAAGCAAAAAAGTATTTTTATTAATAATACAACCAAAGCAATATGCAGAATTTACAATAAATAATGTCAACATTCAAACATGGATTTTTTTGAATGAGAGTCTTGACAAGAAGCGAGGCTTAGGCTCTTCAATTGGTTCATAGAAGACAATTGGTTTTTCTAGTCTCATACCATTTCTCTTTTCATTTCTGATTCTTGGCTTTGCAGAGCTGGACCTTTGTTTGATAGTCGACTTAACAACACCCTTTGCTATAGACTCGAAAAGGAAATTGACTTTCAAATTTTCAAGTGCTGAAGTTTCGAAGTAGTTAGTCTTGCACACCCCTCTCACTTTATCCAAAAGTAGTTTTCCTTCTTCTCTTGAGACAGTTCTTGACTTCGTGTCAATTTTGTTTGCGACGATAAAAATTGTTGGGTAGTCTTTGAGTTCTTTGATGTTTTTTGATATGATGGACAAACACACTCCAATATCTTCTTGGGCACGTTTGAATGCATCTTCATCTTCGACTGAATATACGTACACAATGACATCACTCGAAGAGAAATGCGTTTCTCTCATTGAAGCAAGTCCTTCGTCACTTGTAGTGTCAACTATTTTCATATAAATCTCCTTTTCTTCTAAATCAATTGAAGTGTTGTAGACATCTTCTATGGTTGGGATGTGTTCTGTGACTGTTGTGCCTTGAACATATCTTTTGATTATCGATGTTTTCCCAGACGACGCAGCTCCAAAAAACGTCACGTTCACCATCTTCACCTTTTGGATTTGGCAGTTTGGATTATCCTTTTATACTTCCATAAACCTATAATTATATCTTGTGTTTGTTTTGGAAGTTATTTACAAATATAATACTTTTTCGTTCCCGAAAATAAGGCAGAATTGTCACCCCCATCAGTAATTATTTAAGTAAAAGTTCATTATGAGATAATTACAAAGTAAGTGGATAAAAAGCCCTGTTTTTATCCGGTAAGTGGCCAATTATGGAATGGGGTTTTGACAAAACTTTTTCAAAGATATTTTCAAAAATCCAGGACTTCTCGATCCAAAAATTTTTCTTTAAAATAACAAAAACACCCTGGGTTTATACCAACACAAAACATTGGCACAAATATTAAGGTGGATTTCGAAAAGCGACCTTCAATGTTTAATAGTTTATTCTCAATTTGGTTATAATATAATTAATTATAATGAATTTCAAATAAATAGGATAATTACAAGGTCATTTAATGTACTCCACAAAGTTGATTGTTGATAAAGTAATTCTTTGGTTATTTTCGTCTTATTGTTCAAGTATTATTAAATTATTATTTGCAGTCATTATAACATCGAAAAACTTCATCTAAGAGTGGGTATGCCCTACTTATTGTAACGGGTCTTAGGTCTTGAAATCAAATTCATCATTGTCATTAACCGCTTGTATTAATATTTTTATTCAAATGAAAGCAAAAAGAAATGACCCAACACAAACGAATTTATATCAATGACGAGAACAAATAATAAAATAATGAATGTGAAAAAGGTGTTTTTGTAAAGGCATCTTTTAACTATTATTATAAAAAGCATTTTTTTATTCAAAATACCTGATAATTGGATAATGGCAGAAATTAATAACAATATCTAATATTTTTATTATAAATAATTTATCGTATTTAAAGTAACAACACCAGAGCCAATTTTGCTTTGTAATTAAAAAGAAATGGTTTATCACCAAAAGTAAAAATGACAAATATAACATGACTACCTTTTTTCAAAAAATATTAATATATATAAAAATTTGAAATAACAAAAAAATACCATCTGATACGTTTTAAATTAAGAACAATTCAAAACATATTTAAAGTGGGGAGCAATAAATATAGAGAATTTGATTATATTGTTCAACAAGTCTAGTATATTTATTAATTTATTTACAACACAATTTGTTTAATTATAGGGGTAATTCGAAGATGGTAAGTTTATGATATAATTAGAATCAAGAACCTTGTAAGTTTATTTCTTTGTTGTTTAGCCTAATATATACAAACTCTTATAGTCTTAACGCAGCAGTTCGAATAAAATTACTTTTTATTGTTTTTTTATAACTATGTTGTTAAAGGATAGTAATTAGTTTTAACGGCTCGGTGTTTGAAAATAATATAAAAATGACACTCATTACGAATCATTTTGAAAAAGTTAAATATATTTTTACATTCACTTGTTAAAAATGTGATGTAATTGTTTAAATGAGAGTTTATGACTTTAGTTACTAATATACCACTTCCTTTATCTGATAATTGATTTTATTTTTCTTTGTCGTTCTTAACTTATAAATCAATATAAGACACGTTTAAATCAAAATAAAGACATATAATTAATTTGAACCTTTACTAGAATGTTGTGTATTTGTTTCTTGTCTTAAAAGATATAATAAAGTGAAATATAAAGTAAATAACTAAACAACAAAACAAATAAAACACAAATTAACAGGGTTGTTGGAATGATACAGATTTAAAGCCGAGAGAAGGCGTCAACAAAAGAGGTTCTGATTTTCTTTTTAAAAGAGGCACACTTTGACATCTGTTCCTCTTCCTCTTTAAATTCCTCGTCAATAATAGGCTTTTCCAATCTGATAGCACGTCTTTTGCTGACTCCCTCTGTTTTATAATGGAATCTTTTTCTCGCAGAGCCTCTTGCAATCGTTTCAAAGAGATAATCGACCTTCAAGTTTTCTTTAGCAGACGTCTCATAATACGCAGCAGGGAATCTGTCACTGATTTTCTCAACAATTTCCTTTCCGTCTTGCATTGAGACCTCTCTGTTGTTGGTATCTATTTTGTTGGCTACTACCAAGAAAGATGGGTATACATTTACTTTCTTTGGACTTTTCACTTTTTTGTACTGGGCGATGGTTAGTTCAATACTCTTTTCAACGTTCTTGAACGAAAAGTAGTTGTCCACTGAATATACAAATACAAAGACTTCCGTCTTTTCAATAAACCTGTCTCTTAAAGGCTTGAACGAATCACCACTGGCGGTGTCAATGAGTTTCAAATTGATTTCTTTCCCATCCAAGTCAACAGTGGTGTTATAGAAGTCTTCAATGGTTGGTTCGTACTCTTTGACTTCTATACCTTGAACATATCTCTTGATAAGAGAAGTCTTGCCACAACCACATTCTCCAAAAAACGTGACGATTGTTGTATTCATCAATTGTTTATCCAGTTTCATAGTCTTGGCCAAAGATATATAGTGGCTAATCTTTTATTTTGGGACACCGTTTGTGTTTTTTGAACCCCGAGGTTTCCCCACCACCTAACTGCATTATAAATGTTATCTTAACCTTTAGAGTACAACCACCTTTTCAAATTCAACCCATAAGTGCGTTTTGCTTGTTAAAAATATATCATATGTCCACAATTTTGCAGGAATTTCAAAGGATGCTTCATTGGCTTATTAATAAGGAATGATACTTTTGGGAATGAAAAGACAAAGGCATTTTTTGGTAATTTGAAGTTATTATTCTTTAGTTTATAAAACCTGGTAATAAACCCGTTTTATGGTGTTTAACAGAAGCATTATATTACCAAACCATACGTTTTTACCATCAAGCTCCCATTAGTCTAAATTCTGTACAACAGTTTGCAGGGTGGTTAAAAACTCCGTCGAAAAAAGCCTTTTTAGGGAAGTATGGCATTTTTAGAACAGTATGAGCGAAGTCTAAAAATGTTTTAAAATGACGTTTTTCTTCCAAATTTGTCATTTTTTCTTCTTTAAAAAAAAACAAACTTCAAATCTCTGCGATTTCTATTTTTTGATTTTTCCTTTAAACAAAATTGCCTCTTTTTATTCGTATGATGTGTTTTGTAACAACTCTTGACCAAAACAATTCAATACCTTATAATTTAAATTATATTTTGTTGTAAATGAAACAAAAAAACAATAATAATCATAGTATTCTCTTAAAACCAAATGCAACTGTTTTATAACACTCAAAAAAATAAGAAATAATAATTGAAAAAAAGACAAAATTTGCAGTAGTGTCACGCTATAAAAAAATAAATATTTTGGGATTCTCATTTAAAAGTATTGCCATTGCTACCCACTCCTATTCTTAAAAAAAAAAATATTTCTTATAAATATTTTATGGGTATTAAAACACAAGATATCCATAAATGATCTTTTATTATTTGCCGTTGAACTGTGGATAATAAGACTGAACAATGCAAAAATGTAGCCATTGGTACGTTAAAACGGGAACTTTTTATTTTTTGGAAGGCCACAAACCCTGATTTGAAACTTAATGCCGATAATCTCCATTTTGACCCCATACACAAAGTTCAAGAATTATATATTCATTGTATTTGTTGTTATAATTTAATTATAATTTGAAAACAGGTATAATTATTCTTAAAATAATAACACGTTATTTTAAGAAAAATATTAACCAAAAAGCCGTTTTTTTGAAAAAGATTTCAAACCAAAAAATATAGTAAAAATAGTATTATAATTTACTATTCAAAACTCATTTTTTTATTTCATTCAAATGTTTTTCTGATATAAAGATTATGATTTAACTTTTTTATAATACTTTTTGTTAAAATGTTTATGAACAAAATAAAACTTATAATTTCATGAAAAAATTGCTACAATTAATAGTTAATTGTCTTAATTAAAAATCATTAAATTTTTATTATTTTTACTAAATAAAAATAATTTACGTTGACCTTTTTATTGTTTTTTTAATTATAAACAACTATAAATAGTTATAAACAATGTAAATTAATTAAAACTACTTAAGATCTTTCGTTAATTTAAATTTAGAAAGATTATGATATTTTTATTATTATAATAATCCAAAAATAAAACAAAAAAAGTTGTTTTTTTTTGTTTTTGAGGTTGGCAAATTTTAACTATTAATAGACTGTTATTATTTTTATAAGTTATTATAACTTATTATACTATTTTTTTATTATAATAATAACAACTATTAACCACAGATGCTATTGTGAAATACATTATCAAAAAGTTTTATTTCTTGTTATGTTAATCATTTGTTTGACAATGATAAGTTCATTGTACACCATCAAGAGATTATACTATCATGTTTTAAGCAAACAACCAATGGGTGTAGTTTCGCTATGGGTTAGATGATCTGACTTTTTTAAAAAACAATTTATCAAAAAATTCAACTAAACTTTTCATTACATCTGAGTTAGATACATTTTTGATTTCAAATTGTTTGAACTTTTGTGAAAAAGTAATTAAAGCCACTTTTCAACACCATTCAAATTACAACAATAAAGTTGTAATGTCTAATTAAAGTTGTCTTAATGCATTGACGTTAATTTCGTTCGAAAAAATAGTTAAAAAGAATCAAAACAAACTGCATTACATTACCAGTTACAACAGAAAAGTGTTATGTTTCTTTTTGGTCAAAAGAAAAAACAATAATTAGCTTACTTAACTTCGACACCATTAATTAGCGTGTTAGTCTAATATAACCGTTAGTCATACAATTAATAATTCCAAAAATTCATCCAAAACCAATTGTGTAAAACGAATATTACACATACTTTTAAATATGTTTTTTCATCTCAATTGTATAGTTTTGTAACTAAGATAATGTTGAATAATTGAAATGTAAAGAACCAAAATACAAACTATATGATAAATAACACAATCATTTAAGACTCTTCTTTTTCATATTGTACTTCTCTTGACTTATCGACTTGAACGCTTGTGTTTGTGTGTCTTCCCAGTTTCTCCCAAATTCCCTTGTCCGCACAAACTCTTTCCATCCGGTCCTATTTTTTAATTCATTTCTCTTTAATTATATACACTAACAACAATAAAAAAACAAACACCTTGTCTATATTGAAATCAGCCCATATGTTGGTGTCAACTTTTTCCTCAATTTCTATAACTGGATTCATCTCGACTATTTCATCATTTTGAAATTGCTCATCTTCCCAAAAACCTTCCTCTTCAATAGGTTCCTCGGTTTGTTGATTTTTAAAAAGGTCCAATAGTGACATGTAAATAAACCCTAAATTAATAGTTCTTTTAACTACAAAAAAACATTTTTTTATTAATTATTTTTTCTTTTTTAATTATGTTCAAATAGTAAATATTATCATTGTTTGTTATTCAAAATAGAACAAATTTATTACAACATTGAAGACTCTGTCTTCAATGAACAATGTATGTTCAATGTGATTTTTTAATAATCGACAGTTATTATTTTTATATTAAAAACTACAATTAAAAATAAAATCAGTGTTTAATTGAATTTTCTGATAATATAAAACATATTAAGCATTAAATGACTATTCAAAGATATGTTTTGGTCTTGAACATTCACTTTTTGTTTAGTTTAATTCAGAAAGGTGTTTTAATAACATCAAACACACAAAATATCTTATTTACATTTCAAATTTTAACATTTTTTTAATGCGATATAAATTTTAATATCTTTTTAACATTTAAAATTATTAATTTTATCGCATCGTGAATTTAAAACAATAAAATTCGAAAGCAATTGTTTATTTAGGGACAAACTCTTCCCACTCGAAATTCCACACCTTCACAACACCATCAGTTCCCCAGTTCCAGTTATGTGATGGGAATGTATTGAAATCAAGTACCTCTTGGTCGTCATGAGTTGGTCCAGCTTCAACGTGGAATCGGAGTTTATCAAATCCGGCCTTCTCACAAATTTTTGCGTCCATCTGACCGAATGGGAGTGCTCCAATAGCTTGGTCTCTCAAGTCGTACCTTGCTCCAATAGCCGCACCGGAGTCTTTAATTCCGTCTGGAGTGACTGAGTTGATGTCATCTTGCCATTTGTTGTACTTCATCATCTTCTTCATCGCATCCATATCGTTAACAGCTGGTGCATTTGCTCTAAAAATGTTAGCTCTGCAGCATTCCGTTGGTGAGTTCCAGAATTTGTCTTTTGGTGTTTGCGCGTGTTCCATCAAGTTACTCATATCGATGGTTTCTTGAATTGCCGGCAAATTGTATGACCCGAAGTACCCTGTTTCCTCCAGGCTTTTTGAGAAGTCTTGGAAATACATATACCCTGGCAATTGTTCCGATACAGTGAAAGTCTTCTCTGGTATTCCGTCCTCGACGCTATTCAACAAATCATAATCAACCACAATCCACTGGTTGTTGTATGTTCCCGAGTTTTCTTTTTTAAATGATTCAAAGAAGTCATCTCCGTTATCAGAATGTCTAACGGCGACAACAATTCTTAACCAATCGAGAATAGTCTCCGGGACAATGAATTTATTCAAGTCCGTGTTGAAGTTCGAAAACGTCGTTTCAAAGATCGCCAAGTTATTCGACGTCATGTAGAAATCGTCAAATGAAAACACAAACCCAGGGTATGACGAGAATGAGACTTCCTTCGCAGACAAATAGTCCGAACTCAGTTGGATATTAAAGTACTTCATCACACGAGTCATAGCTCCGTAGTAGAACCAAGCAGCTTGAGAAACATAAATATCATGTTTGTCTTTGACGTACTTCACAAGACCAGAGCACTTCGTTCTCATTTTCCATTGCAAGTGGAATGCGTTTGAATCATTTGCGTATTTCTTGTACCACATTTCTCTCACAACACCATCATCACCAGGAAGAACTGCAGTTAAATCTAACAAGTCACCATAACTCTCATAGAAGAACATATCAAAGAAGGTCATTTGTTTGTCCAATGAGACAGCCAAATTATGACCCGCTGTTATCCCTCTCACTTGTTCCATTACTAAGTCGACACTTGTCCAATAAGCGTCTCCTGCATTGTCTTCAATCTTCTTATTGATGTAATCAATGTTACTTTGAATGTAGTTGTAAAGAGACTTTGGGTATGGTTTATTATCTAAATAATGACCTATATACCACGTGTCCATATTCGATTGATGATTATTAATATCATAAGCAGAGAAATAACCATCAGCAAAGCCTGTAGCAAACATTTGCTCTTTGTCGCTATACTTTTTGTTGGTTGTTATACGAAGCTCAGTATACCCTTGTTCGTTCCGTGTGTATTTGTACGACGCTACAGCTACAGCCTCGGGATCGTTGACTCTGGATATCGTCCACTTATCATCCGTGTGATACACTGATATCGTCCGCTGTTTAGCGGCCATACAAATGGCTACAAAACTTAATAAGACAAACATGCTTTTTCAGTTCTACGAGTTTTCTATTCAACCCGATTTTTTCTTCTTTCTTTTTCAATCCAATTGTTTCCCCGTTTTCTCTTCGTTCTTCTCGCCTTCCAGTTTATAGTAAAGTATAACTTTTTTATTATAATTATATGGTTTCAGCCTTTTCAAATATTTTGAGTCAAATTCGTTTTTATTTGAAAATTTAATTATTAAAAACATATGAAAATGAACATAAAAAAAACAAAAAAATTAATAATTAAAATATGATTAATTAATCATAAGTAAACAAAACACTTCTCAATAGTAAAAATTTAAAACAATATAGAAATTGTCTAGTTCGCCATTTTTCTTTCATTTGCAAGCTTCTTGAGGTATTGCACTCTTTCGATACACTGTTTTTTAGTTTTCCCAGTAACTTTTAGTGCAATTTTATCCCATTTGTCAGACCCTTTATACCCAGCGAGTTCTTTGATTGCGTTTTGTAAAGCAATTTGTTGTTCTTTTTCCCATTCGAGAACCTCTTCTTTTTGTTCCTCTTTGCTATGCATTTTTGCATTCAAAGCCTTTGCATATTCGATGACTTGGAATTCGTTTTTTGTTTTCATATACATTGCAATTCTGCCGTATCTCCTCTCCGTGCCTTGTGGATATTTTTTGCACCCCTTTTTGAACAACTCGACGTCTGCGGAACTCCACTCGTCCAAGACATTTCTCGAGAGATATTTCTCTTCGTCCGCTTTCTTTTTCTTGATATATTCATCCACTTTTTTCACTACAAATTCGATCACAGACTTCTCTTGCATTTGAACTAATGTGTGCAGTTCACCTTCTTCAAATTGAACAACAACGTTATTCAATGCCCAATTCAATTCTTCGGGGACTTTTCGACTCTTTAAAACTATCGTTTCAATCTGCTCGCGCGCGCGAAGCTTCTCTTTCTCGGCTTCTTCTTTCTGTCGTTGTTCTTCTTCAAGTATCCGTTTTCTTTCATTCTCAAGAGCAATTCGTTCCAACTCGCGCTGTCGTAGTAACTCCTTCTTGCGATCACTCTTCTCCTTTTTAAGCCGTTCTCGCTCTTCGATTTCGCGTTGCTTCATTTTGATGACTCGGGGGTCTTTCTTGTGCGCTAATTCAGCAAGTCGCCATATCCGTTTAGCTTCCTCTTTACGGAGTTTAGTCGTCTTCTTTTCATTTTCTTTGTTCATCCACCGCCGCTCTTCTCGACACGTTGCCTCATCAATGTCATACATCTCCTCCGGTGCCATTTCTCTCCACGTCTTAAATCCATACCAAAAGTTGTAGAAGGAAATCACTTCGGCGTCTGTCGTTAAGTCGTCGCCAAGTTGTGGGACGGGTTTGATCAACGACCACTTCGAATTCTTCTTGAAAACGGCACCAAACACTGCGTAAAAGTCCTTTTCAGAATACGTTTTGTCTGAAGGAATTGTGTCGTCTGTATCATCAGTGCTATCATATGCTTTTCTCTTATCAGGACTCGAGAGAATCGCGTAAGCCTCGTGAAGTTGTTTAAACATAGTATCATCCCCTCCATTCTTGTCTGGATGATGAATCAAACACATCTTCTTGTAAGCTTGACGAATGTCATCTTCTGTTGCTTCATATCTGACGGTACCTAACCCTAAAAGCCCATAATAATCACCTTTTGCAATATTTTTCACATGGGGCTTGAATTTACGACTAAAATCTGAGTCACCTGCCTTCTTCTCGTCATTTTCGGAAATGGAAACATCACTCGAAAGTGGCGAGGGACTCGGGGAATAACTCGGGTTAATATACTGTTGGCATTTTTCCTCGTAACAACGCCCAGCTCGCTCAACCCGCCACTCTATTTTATATGCGGCCACTTATCGTGAAATTCGTTTTAAAAAGATGAAAAAATATATAATTGGGTATTTATAAGCAAACAAGTGAGTGAAGAAACTACTTCTTCCCCTGAGAAATCAAAAGGTACTGCGCAAATGTAACGCATTCAACTGATTTTTAATTATTATTATTTTTTTAGGGTTTCACATTTTTAAACTTATTTCAGTTCTCAGTTTTACATCAAAATTTACAACAAACTTTATTTTTTTGTATTTATATTGTTAAAAAATGATTTAAGGCGATCACAGTGAATTTGATAATCATCATGAAGTGTGAAAATCACTATGAAAATAAAAAATCACAGTGAATTTTGAACTCTATTTATATGGTGATGATTTTAAAAATATAACAAAGAAAAAAATTAATTTCACTATACACGATGATGATTTTTAATAATAACTATATTTTTTACTAATTAAGAAACAAACATATTTTTATTTATTAAATTAATGATATATAGTATATATTGTTTGTACGCTTAAATCTGGCATAAATGAATTTAGGAAACCCGCATTCGTTTTTTTCTTTTTTCTTTTTTTTACAATCTTCTACTAAAAATACGTTTTTGCTTTATAAACAACAGACAATTGACAGACATCGTGCTGCAGCAATTGGAGATGTTTGTGATGCAAGGAATTTGGAAATTGAATTGAGAAACTTGGAAACTCAACATGAAAGAGAAGTTGTACACATTAATGCAGAAACCACAAATCCACTTGTTGATAAAATTGATGGTGTGGTATTCATAGAATTGATACAAAATGCATTTTCTGTTGTGTCAGAACAAAACTGTACCTATTATCACGTTCACACGTTGAAAGTTGCTTTTTGTTGTACTCTTGAAATGACACTAAAAAACGACGATCAATTTACACACGATGTTGAGATAACCGATCCTGTATTATCTGCAATTATTGATTCATATTGTGATAATTGATTATTTTCGAAATGACAATTAAAACTTTTTATTACCAAACTTTTTTGTAAATTGTGTTTTGCTTTTTAGAACAAAAATGGGGTTTTCCAATATGCCAGATTTAAGCTTACAAACAATATAATCAAAATATATTTATTATTTTGCAATCGAAAGATTATTTCTTATTTTTAAAAAATAAAGAAATAAAAATAATTATTTTTACAAATATATATAAAAACCGCAATTGAGTTGTGTGAAGGGGGAATTTGTATTGATTGATGGAAAAGCGTTTCCGTTGATCTTGCGGAGACTTTGGATACATCTCCGTAGCTAGTTAGTTACAATTAACACAACAATGAAAGTCCTCCGCTATTTTTTATTAAAACTTTTTTGTTAAAAAAAAACGTGAAAAAATTTGAAATAGTATATTCAATCGTAAATAATCTACAATACAAAATCATCATCTATAAATAAAATGTGCATTTTTCATCATCTAAATATAGAACAATTAACATAAAAAAAGAAAAAAAAACACAATGTACTAATAATTTGTATTATTATATATAATATCGTAATAGTACACCATTCATAATCATTTATTATTTCATTTAAATTATTGATTATAACATGTTTATCACATTTATCGATTGTAACACCAACAATAAAAAATCGAATAGTCAATAACAATGTTTGATTGTTATCACAATTTGTTGTTTTTGCTATTCATCATAAATTGATTGTTAAAATATTTGATGTAACTAAATTTTTATTGTTCGACATTTTATTATAAAATATCATATAAACAAGTGACAGAGCTTGAAACAATGATATAACATCAATACATTAACGGTTTTAACATTTTTTAATGTGAATTATTATTGAATAATAGTAAAAATATTTATTGATATTTTAAACTAAATTTGAACAAGAATTTGTGTTGTTTAAATTAAATATCAGTTTATTAATTGTAAAAATTGATATTTATTTACAAATCCTTGAAATAACAATCATTTTATCAAAAATTACAATATACAAAAATAATACATATATTCCAATTATGAATAAACATTCAAAATAAGTTTTATATACTTTTTAATGAAACAGAATCAAATCTATTTGAAAAACACTCAAAATGGTTGTATCGTAATATAACAAGCTTAAATATTCATTTTCTTGATTGAAATAACACGAGAATGATATAAACATAAATTACAAGCAATATAAATTTGATTAAAAATTTAAATTTATCTTATTTTTTGTTATTAATGTTTACGAACAAATACAAAAAACTTTCAATGAATTTGTGAATTATCAGAATTGTTTATTAAAAAAACAAACATAACCTATCTTTAACAATATAGTTTGAAATACAAATACAACACCTTTGAAAACTGTTTTAATATTGTTTTAATTTTGAACAAATACATGTACGTATTGTGTATTAAAAAAAATAATGTCAATTAAACACAATAAACATACTATCAAAAAATAACAAATTTATCAATAATTGGGTACTTTTGACAATTCATATTAAAGTATGTTTATCTGTAAACAATTGATTATTTAACAAATAAATTTAAAAATGGTTAAGTGTTAACTGTATCAAGCGTGTCAAGTTTCTTCAAAATAAGTTTACGTTTATTGATCAAATTACAAATGTTGTAATAATTTAAATGATATAATAAATGATTATGAATGGTGTACTATTACGATATTATATATAATAATACAAATTATTAGTACATTGTGTTTTTTTTTCTTTTTTTATGTTAATTGTTCTATATTTAGATGATGAAAAATGCACATTTTATTTATAGATGATGATTTTGTATTGTAGATTATTTACGATTGAATATACTATTTCAAATTTTTTCACGTTTTTTTTTAACAAAAAAGTTTTAATAAAAAATAGCGGAGGACTTTCATTGTTGTGTTAATTGTAACTAACTAGCTACGGAGATGTATCCAAAGTCTCCGCAAGATCAACGGAAACGCTTTTCCATCAATCAATACAAATTCCCCCTTCACACAACTCAATTGCGGTTTTTATATATATTTGTAAAAATAATTATTTGAACTATATAATTTAGTAAATATATTAAACTTTTTATTAAAAAAATAACAATAATTATTTTTTTAACAGAAAACGTTAAGAAACTGATTCAAAATATAAAATATTATTTTGCAATTATTTTGTTTTTTATATTTGGAGCAAAGTATGTTGTATTTTTATAAGGTTAAAAATTATTTTCTAAATTTTTCATTTTTAATAATAATCGTTCTATATTTATTTCCTGAGTAAAAAAGCCAAAATAATCAACATAAATAGATTCACCGTGATCGCCTTTAAACATGCTAAAATTGAGTTTTTGAACACGTTAACGCTTTAAATAACATTGAACAAAATTCAAATGGTCTAAAAATCGGGAAATCTAGAGTTTATTTAATAAATTTCCGTTTTTTTTAGAGTTTATATTATGTGCATAAACAATACACAAGCCAAAAAAGGAAAATCATCGAAATTTTGATTAATATCCCTAAAAACAGGTCAAAACAAAAATAAGGGCGTTATTTTAAGTGTTAAATGTATTAGTTTGTAAATTTAACTAAATAACAAATTACATTAGAATTAATGTAATTAATATATAAGCCCAATGCTCAAGCTGTTCTGTGGAACATTTCATGAAACTTCTGGGACTTCTTCTCTTTGTACAAGGACTTTGCCTGCTCAAGGTCGTTCTGCTTGGTGTGGATTTCGTTCAACAAAAGGTCCTTCTCGTCAGCAGGAACGTTGTTCTTCTCAAAGACTTTCTTTTTCTTCTCAAGCATATGAATCTCGTTCTTCAAATTCTGGTATTTAAGCTTGCTGTCATAGTAGTCGAGTTTGGTTTGCCCCTTCTCGGTGATGTGCTCTTCAGTGGCTGCTTGCTGATTCTGTGTTTCGGTCATTTTTGAATATTTTCCATCCATTTTTCAGCCCTTTATGCGCTCTGTTTCTGGCTTTCTCTCTCATTCTCTCACTTTTGCGATCACGCTTTAGATTTTGAAAAAAAAATTTTTATAAAATCAATAACATTTTAATAACATTTTATTTTTTGTTATACATAACATTTTATTTCTGAATGTTTTAACCCAAAACAAGACTTCAAAAAAAATATTTGAAGTAAAAAATAGTGAAATCTTTATTTTTGATTGGTCTTTCTAATTCCTCCGTCTTCTCGAATCGTCTTAAAGAAAAAAAAGATTCCTAAAAATGTTGAATCACTAAAAATAGGACTCGATATTAGAAAAAAAATTATAAATAATAGTTTACAATAAAATCACATTAAAAAAACATCAAAACCAAGAAAAAAAATTGGGATAAAAGCTTTTAAAAAAATCAAAAAATTACATGACCTGCAGAGCCAATTTACTTCCATCGTTCAACACGCTCCAAATTGGCACTCCGGTTATGACCCTCCCCACAGGCTATAACTTGAACTACTACTTTGTAGCGCCGACAATTCCCATCCCCCAGAAAGAGAATCTCGGCTTCTCATTTTCTTTTTCAGAAAGTGACTCCTCAGACTTCGAGGAGCTCGACACCTTTATTTCAGGCTCTTACGACGTTTGAATAGTTTATTATAGCACCTAATATATTTTATATCTTACATTTTACTCTCTTCTGTTTTTTCCTTCCACAATTGTCAATCTCGTCTTTCATTCGTTCTTTCACTTTTTCTATTGCCACTTGTTTTTTTGTTTTTATTCTTTTTACTTGTTTTTCTGGTAATGTTATAATTTATTTACTAATTGGTACAATATTTATTTTTGAAACAACACGTGTATTCTAAGTCGCTATTTTGCATCTTCAATTGAAAACAAATAAATTAACAAATTAAAAAAATTTGTAATTTTTTCTTATTTTTTGTTATCATCTCTAATAATTGAATTTACTAATATTAATATAATAAATGTTAATTGATAAAATATAGTACGTTAAATAATTAATTATAATTAAAAAGAAAATGACAGAGATGATGATCAGCGAAGTTGTGAAATACTTGTAGCTCATGTCTCCCTCAACATAATCAACAATCATATCGAGTGTATTGGCGTCTGTTACAACGTTTGAAAGAACCACTTTTATGACTGGTCCATCAAATAAGCCCAACAAATACTCCTCTATGTTGAGTTCAGTCGTTGTCCCATACGTATTTTTCAACAGATAAAATTTGGAAACTTTCGTTCCGACAGGAAATTTGACGACGATCTCATAAGAAACCACAGCAAGTGGATTTGTCGTGGTTATCAGCGGAATTTTGACACGTCTTACAATCTCGGAACTTCCATTCTGAGTATTTATATCTTCAGATTCAAGTGTGATGGAATGAGTAACCATTAAAGTGGCGGACCAGCCTCCAAAAAGTGGGTACCGTGGTGTGATAAATGCTACAGTGTACTCTCCTCGATAACTCACAGTAACTCCGTCTATAAGCCCTGTTGAGTCAAAAGCAGTTGCAGTTCCTTTCTTATCGTCCTTGAATTTCAGCATCATCTTATTGAACGTGATGCAGTCCTTTTCACTCTTTTCGTACTCCAATCGCACAAACCCACCTTTCACTTTCTCTCCACAGTTCTGCATTTCTATATATCGTTCCGTGACTTCAGCTAAATCATTTTTTATCATAACTTCCTTCTCGACCCGCTTCACTATAATTGGATCTATTCGACTATAAAAGTCGACATAAAAGTAATTGCTTGCACCTCCTTGGTACTCCTCAACCACAAATCTGACCATGTTGATATCATTCGTTTGTATAGTTTCATAGTACAATGAGTGTCCGATAATTTGCGACGACAAACACCTCACATCCATGATACACATATTAGTTTGGTATGGTGTCATGGGGCACAAATTCCCTTCAAACCTCATTCTATATTCCTCCCACATTTTTTTCGTTTGTCCTTTCTTTTTAACAAATCCAACATAATTCATTTCACATTTGATAACACCACTCCTTGCTGAAGGTATCTTGAGTTTCATTTCATCTTTAATAGCCCCAATCACTCTAAATCATTAATTATACCTTTCAATTGAACTCTAAACAATCAATTATAAAACTGTATATAAACTAAAATTAAGTTATATTTTCAATTTTTAGTCGATTAAATGAATAATTTCAAGCATTGAGTACAACCAAATGTATTACTATTAAATACTAATATGATTATCAATCGTATTCAAACCATATTCTTCTCTCGATGTAATAAAAACAAACAGTCTAATTGGTACATCCACACCTTTATGTTCTCCATTCCAAAATTCGCAACTAAAGAACCCTACCATTGCAGTTTCGTTCTTCCAAAAATTGAGGGTGTACTCTTCAATCGAAACATTCGATGAAAAGTCGATGGAGTATCTTAACACGGGATGAATCTTTTCTATATTCATCACACCCTCTATCATTTCGTTCACAACAACACCCTCGCTCATCTTCACAAATTCAAGTATCGCTAGAACTATAATACTCAACATGTTTTTTCAAGTTCCATTCCTCAAAAACTATATCAATCCCAAATCTAATTCCAACCAAATTAAACACCTTCCAACTCGATTATTTTAATCAATCAACTCTTCCATCACACTGGTAACTCTACTGCTACTTCTTTTCTCTCTTGTCACTCTCTTCTTTTCAAGAACCTCCTCCAATACACTTTGCACACTATGAACTCTTCTCTGTGTTGTCTTGTGGTGTTTCGCATGTCGAATTTCTTCCTTCTGTTCGTTAGGCTGCGGTTTCTTCTCATCTTTAACACAGATTTTCTCTTCTTCCTTTTCAACTTTCTCTTTCACTGCCTTCTTTTCTTCTTTCTCGTCTTCGAGCATTTCTTGGACGGAAAAGACTCTTCTTCTCTTCACTATTCTCTCTCTCCTCTTACTGTCTTTTCTCTGTAATTTATCGTATGCAGTTTGGAACCCACTAACTGAGTCTTCTTCGCCTTCATCCCCCAAAACATCTTCAAGTTGGGAATCAACATTATCAACAAAGAAACTGTCTTCTTGGTCAAGATATGCGTCATCCCCTTCGACCACTTCTTCTTCTCCCATCATCTTTCTTGCCATCTCTTTCGTGATTTCGTCACTCAATTTCGTCGCTTTCTTCTCAACAACATTCCCTTCCTCCTTCTCCTCAGCCTTTTCAGTTAGATTCTTCTGAATCGACTTCTCCTCTCTTTTCTCTTCTAAAACACTTTTGTGAACAATTTTCTCCGCAGGGCACGTGAGTTTCTCAACAGTCGATGCAAGTTGTGCCAACATTGCTGGCGCTTCATTCTTCGCTCGTTTCTCTTCAACAACTTCAGTTATTTTCTCTTCGACTTTCTCTTCACCTTTTTCAATGGAAAGTTCGCCGTTTTGAATCACTTCGGCGGGCTTTTCTTCTTCCATCTGTGTGGTCTTTTCCTTTTCTCCTTGAATTTCCATTGGAATTTTCACGTCCACTTTTTGTGGTTCTTCTTCCATCTTCTTATTCGCATCACACAAAGGAGTCGGAGCATTCTCTTGACCATCCTTTTCTTCCTTCCTTTCACTTTCAACACTGTTCATCGCAGCACATTTCTCTTTACCAATTGCCTCCCCTTTCTCCATCGCTTCAAATACAGCAGAATTGATTTCTGGTAGCGTTGAAAAAGTGACCGATGGCGCCGACTCTTCGGAAAGTGCATTGCACGCAATGAACGATTCAGACACACGCACCTTCATCGGAAGTTTCTTGTTCTCCTCCTCCGTCTCGTTTTGAATTTGTTTAATGATCTGTGAAACAACTGGATTATCAACAGGGCGTTCTTCCGGTATTAATGTCGTCTCTCCGTCTATATCAACTTCAATTGTCTTCTGTTTATCACACGAAAACATTTTCTCCATCCCCGTCGACTCCACTCTCTCCGGCGTTTTCGCTTCATTGTTTTGTTGTAAATTATTCTTTGGACTTTCTTCAATTGCCATTACTGTCGTTCCAGACACTTTACTGTTCTCATTTTGAATGTCAGGAATTTCGATATCAACCACTTGTGTCGTTACTTCAGCACTCTCTTTAAGAGGTTCAATTTCCATAGGAACCACCTCTTCAAGTTGCTTTTCTTCGAGTTGGTCTTTTTCTTGTTCAATTTCCATTGGGACGGTGTTCTGTTGCTCCACAACAATCTTCTCTTCTTTTGGAAGTTCATTGACTTGTTCGTCCATTTTAACTTCGACTTTTGGCGCTTCAACAACTTCGGTTGGTACAACGACACTCTCTTTGATATCTTCTTGGACACTTTGTTCGATGACAACAGAAGACTTCGGCGCTTTTGTAATAGAAAATCGAACGGGTTTTTCTTCCTTTTGTGTCAGGACAGGAGTTGCCGTTTTTTCAGGGACTTCTACTCGAGTTTCAACGTTCTCTTCTTTTTTAGTTTCATTTTTATCGACTTCAATGACTTCTTTTGTTTCAGGTTGAGTGGTTGCGGTATTGACTGGCATTGATGGTACAACATATGAGTTCCATATCGCTTCGACCTTTTCTATAATTTTGTTCCCAATAATTGGTTCGTGCTCATCATCAGTTATTTCGATGACGTCATGTTCTTCGACTTGTTGTTTAACATCTTTGACTTCTTTGACTTCTTTAGTTTGTTCCAAAGGATGTGACTCTTCCATTATAATCACGTTATCTGCTTGAACGGTAACTTGAGGGGGTTCAACTCCGATTTGTGGCGCCGTCTTTTCAGGGGCTTGAGTGATTGAGAACTTCACTTTCTTCTTTTCAGGTAAAGGAGGTGTAGTAGTTTCTTGTGGAACATTTACAGGGAGTTCGCTTTCTTTGTTCTCTTGAGGTATGACTTCCATTTGAGTGACAGGAGTGTCTTGAGTACCACATTTCTCCTCTTCTTTTTGAGTACCGCCTTGAATTAAGTCTTCCTTGGGTTGCTCCTCTTCCATCTTTGGATGAACAACTTCTTGAGGAGGTTCGATTTCCATTGGAAGCTTTTCTCCAATAACTGGAATGACTTTTTGAGTCTCAACTGGTTGTTGCGGAACAGTTGGTTGTGTTGAATTGGATTCGGCTTTGGCAACGTTCTTAACATCGGTTTCCGTGACAGTTTTGTTATCTCCATTTGGTTGGTGTGCTTGAATATGCGCGGGTTCTTCATCATTTTTACTTGTCGGATTCTCTTTGGAGGAGAGGACAAGACGGTTGTTTGCATTGTCTCCGCCTACCGTCGGTAAGCTCGCTTCGTTTCCCATTTTTTGAGGAATTTGTTGTTCCATTTTTTTTTGATGAAACTTTTTATTGTTGTACAAATTTCTTTGACTTTTTTGTAGCGGATTATTTCGGGGTTTTTCCCTTTAATCATTCCGTTTTTTGATTCGTTCGCTTTTTTTACTTTTATTGTGATACTATCAATTTACTATTAATGTCTAGTTTGTCATATCTTTTTAAAAATCACAAACTAAAAATGATTATCGTTTACCTCACAAAAATGTTTAAACATAAATTAAACTGAATTATTAATTAAACTATTTAAATAACCATTTAAATATGATTATTTATTTTTATTTTTTATTATTTGATGTTTTAATGTAATTTCTCCCGTTTTTTTATGTAAATAATAATTGAAAGGAAAATCTATACTTTTATAGTTACTTTTATTATTGATATGGTATTTGAAAACTGTGCTATTTTTTTTAATTCAGTGATATTGTCATATAATATGTTAAAAAAAGTAATTATATTAAGTTGTATACAACCTGAAAAACCTAAGTCAAAATCGCTGGTGTTTACTTCTTTTTCGAAAGGAACTCTATGAATGAATAATCGGGAATATCACATTCAGTTACTTCTTACATTTCAACTGTTTCAACTCGCTGAAAAAAAGAATGGCTGGATTAAAAAACACTTGATTTTGGAGAACTTGTTTTAATAAATCACAAAGTATGGAGGCGTGCCCCTTAGTACATCCACAAGACCAGCCCGAAGCTGTACCGGTCCAAGAACCAAAGGTCGACAAATTGCATCGCCTTTTGTTGTCACACATTCTGTTGGGTATAACTGCCGCGTTGTTTGGACTCGTCCACCTTCAAGAAGCCATTGCTGTGTTTATGGGGTATACATCACCAACCGCTACCGAGGTTGTCCTCACTACAAAACTTGTGTGTGCCGCGTTGACTTGTTTAATGGGGTTTCTTGCGTACAAGATGCGGTACAACACTGTCTTTGCGATATTGACAGGACTTTCTCTCTCATTGTACTCTGTATTTGTACACGAGAATACTCTCCTCATGATCAATTCCACAAACCAAGTTTCGTTTTTTGACATGCTTGGTGCATTTACGTGGATGGTATACTTTGCTGTCGAGGTGTTTGTCTTCGACACGCCAAAGTACTTGATGCACTTTCACTGTTCATTGTCAGTGTACCATGCACTGGTTCTTCTTTTTCTCATTTTTTCTAATCAAATTTCCACCCTTATCAGACTTTTCGTTTCGACACTTCTCAATCTCTCAATCTCGGTGATAGCGAATATATTAGCTCTTTGGGCTTTCTACCCAAGTTTCAGAGGTCCTTCACATACTCATTCCGCAACTGGACAACCTGAAAAGGCAAAGTCAGATTAAAACTTAACTAAAAATCAATTGACATATTTTTTATTGAATTATGTTACTCTTTCCACACATCTAAATAGTTTTGCATAAGAAATGCAAAAAATGTGTTGATGGTAGTAACCTTATGTATAGCTCCAGGACCGAGAGATTGCATGGGGTATATCGTCTGCCCAAAAATGGTTGAAATGTTCCCAGCAGTGATTCCCTTTCTTTGAGACGCAGTCAAAAGAATGTTAGCCAAATTGACTAATGAATTCAGAACTTTCTTATTTGGTTCGCACATTCCACCAATTATATCTCGTGTGTGATTTATCGGATTTGAAGTGTCAGAAAAGTTGTCATTTTTCCCAAAGATTGAAAAAACCTTCTCAGCTGTCTCATTTGGCAGAACGGGAGCATTTAAACTGAATAAAAATTCCTTCAATACATTGGCAACAACATGTGGGTCTTCACTCTGTGGAAACTCATACACCCTCCAATCATCAAACAGACTACACCATCTCTTAACTTCGGATGTGTTTGCACCAATTCGAAACAGCCCTTCAGTCGAAAGTAGTTCTGGTTTGCCGGAAAAGAATTGAATCACTGCCTCGATAACAACGGGAAGCGTTGAATAATTTTTGAAATTGATCTTTTCGATGTTTTGAAGGGAATTCCCAAAGAATTTTGTTGGGTTTGTTGTGTGTTCTAAAAGCACTTTCTTACTCACTGGAGAGTGAACCGGAGCAACGTCTTTGTAGAAGTCGGACACGTCTTTGATGATTTTGAGTCTTGAAATATCAAGAGAAACGTTAACAGAAATCTGTGTAGTAATACCAAAAAAGACGTAAAGCTTGTGGAAGTTGTCGAAGTACTTTTTGGGGAGGTACGAAAAAAACTTTGCAATAAAAGTTACTGGGAAAATTGCCTTTGAGTCGACAATGACGACAGAGTACTTTGATTTTACCAACTCATCCATTCGAGTGAAAACAAAGTGCGCCAATTGGATAAATGATTGGTCGTCCATCCCAAATGAAAACGGACACGTGTCCAAATTGAAAACAAATAATGGGCGATTTTTTCTGTCAACAGACGTGTAATTCAAGAACGACGACTTGTGGAGGGTCAGTTGAAATTTAGCAACTCGGGAAGGATTTTCGAGAAGTCGTTGATAGTCACAGTCGCTGTAATAAGTTCGTTTTTGCTAAAGGTCATTTATTGAGAACTTTTGTATTGGGTAATGAGAAATAGCAAACTCCAACACCAAACATGGAAAGTAGTTGATCATCAATTTCAATAACACTGTTAAAATTGTGATTGTCTGTTTCTAAAATGACTGGCGGTGACATGAATTCCGTCAGATGTGGTTTCTAAGTGTCAATTGTGTTTAGGCAGTGTGTGAAATGGTATAATGAAAGATTACAAACAACAATCAAAGCGGGTGGCTCCGGTGTCTTTTTGCTCGACTTCTTTGGTGTGAGTGCGCGGTTGATCGACTCAAAAGAGAAAAAGCGGCGATGTTCAACTTCTGCCATGGACTGTATATTTTGATATCAATGTTTTTTATTTTTACAATTGAAAAACCACAAATGCTTATAATTACCACCGACAAATCAATACAAAAAATTCTTTAAATATTATTATTATAGTTTTAAATAATAAAATATTATACTAATTATATATTATTTGTTTTATTTAGTTTTTAATACAATACTCGCAAAATAAATATTTCTTTACTTTTCAAATAAGTGTGAAAAAATGTATTAAAGTTATTAATTGTTTATTTTAATAAAGAACAAAAATTTTAAATTATCAAAAAAACAGTTTACATAATAACTGATTTAGGTTTGATTTATTTCTAATTTCTTTTCTTAAAATATAAAAAGACCTTTAATAAAAAGTATTTTTTATTATAATTAGTTATGAACTATAATATTATTATTATTTGTTTATTTAATTTATATTTTGTAAATAGAAAAGAATTTTCGAAAAAACAATAAAAAAACATTGAGTTTTGTTGTTTTTATTTAAAACAAATAATTATTCAAAAAATTATCATTTATAATATATTATAATTTAAACATTAGTTATTTTATTTTTAATATTGTATTATTAATTTATTATTCTTAATATATGGTTAATTTTAATTTGATTTTTAATATAAACAAGAATAGTAAAAATATTATCATATAATAGTTAATAAAAAAGTCTTTAAAAAAAATCAATAATTCTGATGTTTATTTACACCCGTGTTCACATGACGGGTATTTGAACATTAATCAATTTAGTCTCAAATAATTGACAATAACGGGATGATCCCCCAAACAAAAAAGATAAAAACCAAATAGAAACTTAAAAAAAAAATCCCGCAACTTAGCGGAAATACGACTCAAAATAAAAATGCATGAATTCCTCAAAATATGAAAAAGTGAAAAACCTTCCAAACCTAAAATTGATCTATGAAATCAACACAAATATGTCGAACAACCTTATTCCAGGTAAATTGAATGAACTTCTTCAAGCTCGTAAATTCACAACACAGTTCTGTGTTCAAGTATATGAAATCAAAACCGTTCCTACAAAGCAAGACATAGTGAAAGCAAAGGTCCACGATTCGAAGACGTCTATCACCGCCATCGTTCGATGTACTGGAACTGACGCAGTGAAGAATCTTAAAGAGTTCTCCATCATCAGAATTACTAACGCCGTCTTACACGTCCCCACCGATGAGTCGAAAACACTTGTGTTGGCTATTAACAACTTCGACACCGTCGACAAGACTCAAACTAAGATGCTTGGCGCAAACTTATTGAACGTCACAAAACTCAATCAAGTCAGCCAAGCACCACACGTCAGAGCGGGCGTCCCAACTTCACATTCCGCTGCTGTGCCGGCAGATTTGTCGAAAGCAAAAATCACGCCATTTGCGATGTTAACAGCAATGCAAAACAAGAGCACTATTAAAGGACGAGTCATTTCTAAACAAGACAAGTTCAAGTACGCAAAAGGAAATTTGTTCAACTTTGTGTTGCAAGACAAAGAAGGCGGTGAATTGCGGGCGACTGCTTTTAATGATATGTGCGACGCACTCTACGACACCATTCAAGTTGGGTCGACTTATTACATCTCGAAGGGCGAATTTAAGGTCCCCACCAATAAGAATTATCGAAGTGCAAAGATGATAGACGTTGATATGGTCGTGGGGAGGTACACCACTGTGCAGAAGGCTGAAGACGAGTTACCGGCGATTAGTTCAATTACTGCCATTTCAGACTTATTGACATCACCCGTTGACTCGTTGTATGATATTTGTGGGGTTTTAGTTCAAGTGAAAGACGAGGATCATTTGAAGAATGACAAAATACGACGATCCATTTTAGTGGCTGACCAGACGAAACACGTTGTGTCAATTAACTTCTGGGGAGAAGACGCTGCGATACCGGAAAGACTTGAACCCCTTAAGACATATGTCTTCAGACAAGTGCAATTGAGAGAGTTTAGGACAAGAAACATGAATTACAGTTCGAGGTCGTCGAGTATTATAGAGGGAGAACAAATAGCGAAGTACGACGAAACATCACTTGTCCACAAAATGTTGGACGAGAGCAAAACGTCGACGGGGGAGTACGTCTTTGACCGACCCACTTTCATCTATTTGGATGAAACTACAACAGCAGACTCAGTCCAAGGGACTAAGACTGAACAGTCGAAGCTCTTCAAATTAAGCAAATTTAATGAAGCGGTTTTGGCATCGGAGGAAGATATTAAGGGGAATGTATACGCGTACTTCACGTCGTTCAAAACGGACTCGACGTTCTATTACGTGTCATGTCCGTCGTGCAAAAGAAAGTCGATTTAGAAGCGACGCACTGCCAAAATTGTAATAAAGAGATTCAACCAATAAAGAGATTTATCATGAGAGCATCAATTGCGGATGCGAGTGGGACGGAGTGGATCACAATGTTTGATGAAGTGATGGTTGGACTGTTGGGGAAGACAGCAGACGAAATGGCCGACTTGAATGACAGCAACATCGACGAGTTTGATAAAATCTTTAAGGAGAAGCAATACGTGTTGTATCGAATGCACTTGCACGGGAAGAAAGAGACGTACGAAGGAGTCGATCGACTTCGGTTCACCGCCAATTTTGTCACGCCATTGTATCCGTCGACTTCGGATTTAACTGACTCCAAACAGCGAGACGATTTGGAGAAAGCGCTTGAGAGGATGTCTGGAGATATGAAAGATGTGATTTTGGGAGCTCATTAATTCTTTATTCTTGTTTTTCCATGTTTTTGAGTCAGGAATTTAATTTTTGAATGAAAGAGGAAGTAAAGAGGCAAGAGAATGTCTCTTTGGTTAATTTTAAATGGCGTGAAGAGTCTATTTCGACTGAAGAAGTAAACAGATAAAGAGTCAATCAAAATAGAACATATAGTATTATTTATAATAAAAATTCTAATACAAATACTAGATCAATTGTAAGAAAAAAAAGAGTCAATTGGCTCTCTTCTGGAAACGGTGGGCAAACTGCTTATGCATGAAGAAAGGAATGATGATACCACAACTGTTACTACTTTCTGTGATATGTCCACCACTTGCAGTGTATTACAGTAAAGGGTATTGTGCTGATTTTACAGCAAATATCATTCTGACGCTATTTGGGTACCTTCCCGGTGTACTCCATGCTATTATCACTGTATTTTAGGCTTGATATATACGGACTCTTTAAAAAGGAAAAGAATGGGCAATTGGCTTTATTGTCGATTGTATTAAAAATAGACCACTTTCATTAATTCAATTGAGTAGTGATTTTTGATATAAAAGAATAAAAAAGATCAAATGAGTTCACTCTTATTGCTCTTTAACAGGGGAAGGGTGCTTGTTTTTCCAATCGTCCAAAGTGACAGAGGACTCGTCTTTGTTGAAAAGATTATCGACAGTCAAGTTGTGTTGCATTACATACGCGTTTTCACCATCGGCATAGTACTTTTTCTCGGTACTCATTTTGACAAACCCCATCGTGTTTTGATACAAATGAATGGCGGCAACGTTACTCTCTCTCACGTGCAACGTGACGTACTCAGCAGAATATCCTTCTATCATCGCATTCTCCGCAGATCTCAATAATTTCGTTGCAACTCCAAGTCGTCGGTATGTCCTCAGAACGGAAATTGATGTCACATGGGCGAATGGAATTTTTGAGTCTTCGTCCCTTTGTGTGAGTTCAAACTATTCGCATATTAAAGCCAAACGATTCAAACAAACATCTTGATCAAAGCATATCCAACTACCTTCCCTTCGGCATTCTCCGCTAAAAATGTAAGGGTTGGCCAACTCATATTGTGGTAGTAATAGTACTTCAGTTGATAGTTTTCAGGCAAATTGTTCAAGTTCGTCTGCTGGATTTTGACAAGATCCTCGGGCAATGCCTGTCTAATGCTGATCATCTTTTTTTCAAGGGTTTTTTGTTCAAGTTCTTTGTTTTTGGAAGAAACGATAATATACTATACTTAACCTATTATTTTGAAGGTGTTCTGTTCCGAAAATAGAAAATACTTGATGCTATTGAAAAAATTATAAACGAACCATCAATATAATAGTTTCTCCTACTCGTAGAATCTCTTCTGGTATGGCTCGGGACCCATGAACTCTGGGAACGCTTCTTGTGTGTGTTTGGAACTTTCAACGTATTGATAGTCAAGACCGTCAACTTTATTGGCGGTGTAACTCTGGTCGTCCCATGTGATCGCAAAGTGAATAACGTCAAAGAAACCCCTGTACTTGATGCTCTTGTCCATGTACGCGTATGGCCAGATGTTGAACCCACAAAGGTCTTCCTTGTTTTTCAACGCCTCCATTTGATTCTGGACTGGCATGAACAAGAATTCGACATAGTCGAATGGGACGTCGTTCACACAAAACTCTTTCTGAATGGTAATATCGTTCTTGTTCACTCTGACCATGCAGAAGTTCACAAGGTTCGGGTTGATAGTACTTGGTGATTTGTGTGTCAAGAAGAAACGGGAGTTGTCGATATCGTCTTGGCTGCACAGCTCATCTGTGAACTGATTCAAGCAAGTGAACTCCATTGGTCTTCTGTAATTGGCGACATATTCATTCAAAAACGTTTCGTTCAAACAAGCAGACTTCTCGTCCACAATTGCAGCACCTTTCTTTTGTTCCTTGTAATCCTTTTTCACTCCATACTTAGTTGGTCCAGTTGCCAAATTTACACAAGAGTCCCAGTTTTGAATATTGTTGGCATTTGGGCAAATTGTTCTCTCGTCCCACTCGGAAATTTGTTGCATGATGTATTGTTGTGAGTGCGATCCTCTGTAGTAATTTCGCGGCGTGGGTGGGGGGTCGTCTCTTTTCACTTTTTTATCGGCAGTGTCAGCTTTGGCGTTTTTGGCAAATTTCGTCATGAATTTCTTCTCTTGTTCCTTGTCGTGGAAAATCCACTGTTTCTTTTCAGGCCAATACTCAGCTTCTAACCAACTGTTTCTGACAACAAACGCTCCCTTTGAACCGTCTTTGTTTGTGAACTCGTCGTTGTAACCGACAATGTTCATTGCGTGGCCTCCTTCAGACAAAGCCTGGTTATCTTCAATGAAAAACTCGCCGTCAGGGTTCATTTCGTGTTGATCAAGATAAAGGCACTCTTCGTTGGGGTTGTCTGGGCAACCGTCGATTTCTGAAACGAAGGCTCTAAGCATTGGGTGATCAGCGGATGGGATCGCGTATTTGCCAATGATCAAAGCTGAATCAAACCCGACTGGTTTTTGTGTTTTGTAAAGAAGCTTTTTGATGTCGGAAATGGTTCTCTTGGTGACGATGTTTGTTACGTTGAATTTCAAAGGATTCTTCTTCTGTTTCTCTTCTTTGTTTTCACATTCCCACTGTCCTTCGTTCTCCTCGGCATATGGGCACGCACTCTCGGGCAAGATCTTGTCATACAAATTGGTGAATGCGTACAACCACTCAACATACCCTCCTTCAGTTGAATTCAATAGTTTTTGCTTATCAGGGCACGCATCTTTGTGCTTTTCACACTCATTCATAACGTCAATGGCGTACGCCTGTGGCGACAATCTGACGTATTCATTTTCCTTCAAAAACCCTTTCTTAATACCGTTTTCTCTGTAAGACTGTTCGAGAAGTCCAATGGTGGCGAATGCCCAGCACGTGCCTCTGTCGTATTGACAGTACCTTGGCAGTTGGTAATTTGACAAATAGCTTGATGGCAACGATGAAGCTGTAA